TCACTCAGTATAATGTCCTCCAGGATCACCCATTTTGCATATTATTTCATGAGTTAGTTATTCTTCACTATTGCATAGTATTCCATTGTGTGAATATACCACAGCTTCTCTATTCCCTCATTTGTTGATGGGCACTTGGGTTGTTTCCAGCTCTTTGCTATTGTGAACAAAGCAGCAATAAACATGGATGTGCATATATCTGCTTGGGTGTTGGTTATGGTTTCATTAGGGTATATTCCCAGTAGTGGAAATGCTGGGTCAAATGGTATCTCTATTTGCAACTTTTTGAGAGTGCAACACATAGCCTTCCACAGTGGTTGCACCATTTTACATTCCCACCAACAGTGAATAAGGGTTCCAGTTTCTCCACAACCTCACCAGCATTTGATGTTTGCTGTTCTGTTAAATTTTGCTATTCTGACTAGGGTGAGATGATATCGCACGGTTGTTCAGCTTTTTGAGGAAGCACCAAACTGCCTTCCAGAATGGTTGTACCATTTTATAGTCCCACCAACAATGTGTAAGAGTTCCTTTCTTGCCACATCCTTTCCAACATTTATTACTTCTGCCCTGCTAAACTTTGCCACTGGTGGTGAGGTGAGAAGGTATCTCATTGTGGTTTTGATTTGCATCACTTTTACTGCCAGTGATTTTGAGCATTTCTTCATGTGTCTGTTTGACATTCTAATATCTTCCTCTGTGAAAATTCTATCCATGTCTTTTGCCCGTTTTGTAATTGGATTATCAGTCTTTTTCTTGTGGAGTGCCAGAAGGATTTGGTAAATTTTTGTTATAAGACCCTTGTCTGAGATGGTATTACCAAATATTTGTTCCCAGTCTGTAGGCTGTCTTTTCACCCTGTTGGAAAAAGGTTTTGATGCACACATGTGGGCAAAACTTTTTCCAACAGGGTGATAAGAGAGCTTTTTTAACACTGGCCTAAAATGGAAAGGCTGAATGGCCAGCAAGAACACTTCATAAGTTGGTTTGACTAAGAAATTATATCCTAGTTCCAAATGTGAGTTTTATCCTGCTAACATTCTTAATGAACTCTATAATGGTGAATATGTTCTGGGAAGTTTGTGTACCTATTGCCACAGACGTCAGACTCTCAAGGCCTGGTAGGCCTGGTGCTGGAATCAGATGTAGGTGCAGGAGCTTGGGGGAGAGGGGGGAACATGTCTGACCTTACGGGAATTGGACTTGTGTTGGAGACACTCACCTGTTACGGAGTTAAGAAATAGCTGTTCTTCCCATATTGATCTCATTCTTTGCACTACCCACATTTAAGAAGTGCACTGGAGATATTTTGTCAGCAACCACATTTAGGGACTACAGGCGCATCAAGGAGCTCAACTCTCATTTGGGGTCTTCGGTGAGAAAACACATTTTCAATTCAAAACAACACAGAATGAACATGTCAGACAAAAATGAGATGAGGAATTACTCTATTGAGTTTATTTGAAGAAAGAGCACATAAAGTTTACATTGTACCCACATGTTGAAGAGCACACATGAACTCCTTAGTCCTCTTTATCTGCTTGAGCTCTGTATCAGAACAGACATACTCTGCAATTCTAGTTATAAAGGGCTGAGCAAATGTTATTCCTGTGAACAGTAATTACAGCAGCTCTATTTAGAAGATATTAAGCAAGCATGAAGTTCACTCAAAGAGCTCAACCAATTTCCAAATTAAAATACAACCGTAGGTTTTCCTTTTCAATCCAAGAAAATAGGCAGGGGTAGAACAGATGTAATGTTGCAAATGACTACAAAAACTCAGTATTTGTCACTGCACAGACACAGACAAGGGTAGAGTCTGGTAACGGAGAGAAGTTCTTCCCTAAATGGGATCTCTGATGTCTATCAAAACTTGAGCTTTTTCTGAAACTTTTTCCACAGCAAGAACATTTATAAGTTTTCTCTATTATGTGAATCCCTTGATGTCTGATAAAGTTGGACTCAAGTGACATTTATGGGGGACACTGATAGGGTTTCCTTACTGTGTGGACCCGCTGGTGTCTATTTAAGTTGGACCTCCGGATGAATCTCTTTTCGCAGAGAAGACATTGATAGGGTTTCTCTCCTGTGTGGACCCTTTGGTGTATAATAAAAGTGGACCTCTGAATGAAACTCTTTTCACAGAGAGGACATTTATACGGTTTCTCTCCTGTGTGGACTCTCTGGTGTCTATTAAAGTGGGACCTGTGACTGAAACTCCTTTCACAGAGGGAACATTTATAGGGTTTCTCTCCTGTGTGGATTTTCTCATGGTGCCGTAATGCAGAAATGTCCTTGAAGCCTTTCCCACAATGATTACACTTGCAAGGCTTTTCTCCTATGTGGATTCTTTGATGCTTCACAAAGTCTGAATGCCGCACAAAGGCTTCCTTGCAGGTGGGGCACTGAAAAGATGTCTTCCCAGTATAAGTTCTCTGGTGAAACAAAAGCTGAGAATTCCTATAGAAGGTTTTCCCACCCTCTCTGCAGGTAGGGAGCTTCTGAGTTGTGGGAGGTTTCAGCTGGTCCTTAAGAGAAACCTCTTGCTTCTGCTCGAGGCACAGCACAGACAAGTCTCTTGAGTGGGAATCAGGTAAACAATGGTCTAGCTGTTTTCCAGAAACCCTCTGTTGAAGAGAGAGCTGTTCCCCTCTCTCCTTACCTTGGAAGTGTTCCTGTCTCTTAGGGAGATAACCTTCTCTAAAGCATCTTTGTTCATTCTCACCAAAGAAGCCACTCAAAGAACTGTGAGAAGGGGCCTCTCCTGAGATGTGACAAGAGGCATCTGGAGGCTCCCGATCCCAATAGGTTTCCAAGTTTAGACTGTCTTTGCCATTCTCTTGTCTGTCTCCTAAAAGAAAAAAAGGAGATCTGAAATGATGTGATAAGTTTTACACCCTGTTTTCCATTCATATGCCAAGTGAAAAAAAAATCATAAAACATGGACTCTTTATACCAAGAGGATATCGATGAGCAAGGGGGTAAAAACCATCACTGATACTGAAGTTCTGGCACTACATTAGCTTGTCCTGCATTTCAGACTAAGTTTTACACACTTGAACTCAGGAGAATTAGAATTTCTCAGAAACAGATCAAGGCACACAAATTTAGCCCCTCCACAAACAATCAGCATGAATTTCTTAGCATGCGGGGGGGGGGGCAGGGCAGGGAAGTATATTATGAACAGTTTTGGTTTTTCTTATTAAATGATTGGTCTTCTTGTTGTTGTTATGTGCCGTCAAGTCACCTGCAACTCATAGCTACCCTATGTAAACAGCCCTAAACCCTGCGCTATCCTGTGCCAATCTCACTGTCTCTGACACATCTACCCACATTACCTCAGTAATCAATCCGTCTTATTGAGGGTCTTCCTCTCTTGCACTGTCCCTCCACCCTCCCAAACATGACGTCCCTCTCCAAAAACTGGTCCCTCCTTGCAACATGTCCAAACTATGTCAGACGAAGCTTCAGAATACTTGCCTCTAAGGAGCAGTCTGGCTTCACCCTCTCCAGGACAAACCTGTTCATTTTCTTAGCAGTCCATGGTATATTCAATACTCTTCTCCAACACCAAATGCTCAAAGGCATAAATTCTCCTTCTATTATCCCTAGTCATTGTCTAGATCTCTGATACAAAGCAAGTGATTATAAAGACCATTGCATGTATCAGGTGCACCTTAATCTTCAGACTGACATAGTTGCTCTTCAGCACTTTCAAGAGGTCTCTGACCACAGACTTTCCCATTGCAATGGTTGGTCTTATGTGGTTATATATTAAAGAAAAATACAACTAAACATACAGAAGCAAGATTCTGCTGAAAATTAGAAAAAAAAATCTGGCATAGCACATCAACAGAGAACTGCCAGAAGTGCAAGCTGAATTTAGGCTGTGGTACTAGGGATATTATAGCTAATGATAGATAGATTTTGGCTGAAAGCAGAAAGTACCAGAGGAATGTCTGTGTTTCATTGACTATGCAAAGGCATTTGACTGTGGGGATCACAACAAACCGTGGCTGACTCTAAGAAAAATGGGAATCCCAGAACCTTGACAGTGTTTATGTGAAACCTATAGTTGGACCAGGAGGCAGTTGTCAAAGCAGAGCAGGGAAACAATGCATGGTTCAAAATTGGGAATGTATACGCCAGGGATATGTCCTATCTCCACACCTTTTCAATCTATATGCGGAACAGTTTATTTGGGAGGCTAGGCTCTATGAGGAGGAATGTGGCATCAAGATTGGAATAAGACTCTTCAATAGCCTGCCCTATGTAGATGACACAACCCTGCTTGTGACCTTAAGCACTTGCTGCAGAAGGTGAAGGACAGCAGTCTTAAATAAGGATTGAAGTCCAATATCAAGAAAACAAAGATTCTCACCACTGGGCCAACTGGCAACATAATGACAGATCTTGAAGAGATTGAGATTAACACCTTCAGTTTGTTTGGCTCCACAATCAATGCTCTTGGTACCAGCAGCCAAGAAATCAAAAGACAACTTGCATTGGGAAAGTCTTCTGTCAGAGACCTCTCCAGAGTACTGAATATCAACAATGTTAGTCTAGAGAGTAAGATGCACCTGATCCAAGCCATGCTCTTCACAATTACTTGCTATGCATCAGAAAGCTGGGCAATGACTAGGGATGATAGGAAAACTGATGCCTTTGAGCTGTGGTGCTGGAGAAGAGTATTCAATTTGCCATGGACTGCCAGGAGAACAAACAGGTTTGTCCTCAAGAGGGTGAAACCAGGCTGTTCCTTGGAGGCAAAGATTCTGAAGCTTCGTCTGACATACTTTGGACATGTTGCAAGGAGGGACCAATTCTTGGAGAAGAACATCATACCTGGGAAGGTAGAGGGACAGCGCAAGAGAGGAAGATCCTCGATGAGATGGACTGATTCAGTGACTGGGGTAATGGGGATAGGTGTGTCAGAGGCAGTAAGGTTGGCTAAAGGACAGACCAGGTTCAGAGCTGTTGTACACAGGGTAGCTATGAGTCTCAGGTGATTTGACGGCATATAACAACAACAATTTTTTTTAAAGAGACAATAATAAAATATATATAACAAAATACAAATCAACCTCAATCATATCCTTAGGAATAGCTATTAGTAATATTTGCTTCCCAGGTTTGTGCCTCCCTGCCCTGCTAAAGAGCACACCTATTCTTTTTAACTCACAATACTGGATTTCTACTGCAAACAGTTGTCAATCAACATGCCATTCATAGGGTTTTTAAAAAAATATTTTATACTAGTTTACATACAAAATTTGTGTACACTGTATTTTACACTTTCCTTTATTGACATGGTGTTTCATACAATTTTCACATACCTCGTGCTTTATGAAATTAATCACAAACTATGCTCACCATTACCCTGTCTTTTCAGGTTCCTTCTGGATCTTTCCCATTTCCTTTACCCAATCTCTCCACCAACCAAATTATGCAGCCTGTGATTTTCCCCCTGTCCACCCTTACCCCCTACTCCAATCCCTTCCCTTGTTGGGTTTCCATACATGTTTTACTAGTTATCCTCCTATTTTTACAATAATAGTCTTATGCAGTATTAGTCCTTAAGAGGAGTTAGTTTACTCAGCATAATGCTCTCTAGGCTCTCCCAAGTTATGTAGTATTTTTCTAAATTGTCGCTCCCAAGTGCTGAATAGTATTCCATCATGTGAATGTATCACCATTTCTCAAACCATTTGACTGTGGTTGGACATTTAACTGTTTCCAAGTTCTTGAATAACAATGCTATGAACACAGGTGTACAAATCTCCATTTGTATCTCAGTTTTAATTACCTTGGCTATATTCCAAACAGTGGAATAGGTGGGTCATATGCAATTTCTATGTTCAGCTTTTTAAGAAAATGTCAAACTGCCTTCCAGAGTGGGTTCTACTATTTTATAATCTCACCAACAGTGTATGAGATTTCCAATCTCTCCTCATCTTCTCCAACATTTATTGCTTGGTGTCCTATTAAACTTTGCCACTGCTACTGGGGTGAGATGGTATCTCATTGTGGTTTTGATTTACATCTCTCTTATTGCCAGTGATTTTGAGCATTTCTTCATGTGTCTGTTGGCCATCTGAATGTCTTACTCTGGGAAAATTCTTTCGATGACTTCTGTTCATTTTGTAATTATCAGTCTTTTGTGGAGGCCCTGTAGTATTCTGTAAACTTTTGTTATGACACTCTTATCTGAGACAGTATGCCCAAATGTTTTTTCCCTAGTTGGGACATAGTCTTTTCAACCAATGGAAAAATATTTTTAATGCACACATGAATTTAATCTTTAGAAGGTCCCATTCATCACTTTTGTCCTTTCCTATTTGTACATTTTGGGCCGTATTTGTCAGTCTCTTCATACCATGCATTAGACCTTGTAAACTTGGTCCCATTTTGTCTCCTATGATCTTTATGGTTTGGGGCTTTACCCCCAGGGCTCAGATCCACCTTGAGTTGATTTGTGTCTACGGTGTGAAATGTGGGTTCTGCTTCAGTTTTCTGCAGGAAGAAGTCCAGTTTTGCCAGCCCTGTTTATTGAAGAGGTTTTTGTTTCTCACTTGGTAAGTTTTGTTTCCTTGTCAAGTATCAGTTGACCATACGTATAGGTTCATTTTTGGGTGTTGATTCTGCTCCATTGGTCGGTGTGCCTGTCATTGTTCCAGTACCATGCTATTTAGGTTATCACAGCTGTGCAGCAGGTTTTAAAATTAAGGAGTAATATGCCTTCCACTTCATTCTTGTTTTTCATAAGTGCTTTGCTTATTCAAGATCTCTATTTTTTCCAAATAAAAACTGCCTTTTCTATAGCCATGAAAAATGAATTTGGTATTTGCACTGAGACTGAAGTAGGTAGGATTGTAATTTTTACTATGTTGAGTCTTCCTATCCATAAATATTTAGGTCTTTTAGTGTGTCTTGCAGAAATGTTCTGTAGTTTTCTTTGTACAGGTCTTCTGTGTCTCCAGTTAGACTTATTTCCAGGTATCTCTAATTGTGATTGATTATCATAAATGGTAGTGGTCCCCTAGTTCAAAAAGGTTTTTTGAGTCCTAGTAGTTTTCTGTGCACATATCATTCCATCTGTATATAGTGCCAATCTGGATTTCCTTCTCTTGTTGTGTTGTACTACAAGTGCTTCTAATACAATACGAGTGGTAAAAGTGGGTATTCTTGTCTGATCCCTGTTTGCAAGCAAAATGCTTTTAGTCTTTCTCCATTCAGAATGATACTGGATTTTGGTTTTGCATATATACTTTTTACTATGTTGAGGAAGTTTCCTTTTATTCCTATTTTTCTTAATATTTAATCAGGAAGGGGTTCTGGATTTTGTTAAATGGTGTTTTTTTTTTTTTGCAAAAATTGCTAGATTATGCGGTTCTTGTTATTTGCTTTGTTAAATTTTGTGAATTCTGCTGATTTTTTTAAAAATGGTGAACCATAATTGGGGGGCGGGGGGAGAGGGTTGGGCGGGTAGAGAAGTGCAGCAATGAATGAATGGAAATCCAAATTCTCTGTAAATGTTCATTAAAATTATTAAAAAAAATTAAAAAAATGGTGAATCATTCTTGCATATCTGTTATCAATCCCACTTGATCATGATGAATTATTTTTTTATGTGCTGTTGGAATCTACTGGCCAGGATTTTCTTAAGGATTTTGGCATCTCTATTTAAGAGAGATATTGGTCTGCAATTATCTTTTTTGGTAATATCTTTGCCTGATTTTCGTGTTATGCTTACTTCATAGAATGACTCTGGGAATGTTCCTTCTCTATTTTTTTAGATCTTCTTTGAATGCTTGGTAAAATTTAGCCATGGAACCATCTGTTCTAGCACTGTTTTTGGTGTTTTTTTATGACTTACTCAATTTCTTCCTTTGATAGATCTGTTCATGTGTCCTACATCTGTTAGTCTCAATCTAAGTAGGACATGAGTTTCAAGGAATTTGTCTATTTTGTCTAGGTTTTCAAATTTAGTAGACTATAGATTTTCATAATACTCTGATATTATAGGTTTAATTTAATCTCATTCTTTAGTGATATTAACTCTATCATTCATTAATCAAGTTATTTGTGTTTTCTCTTTTAAGTTTGCCATTTTATGGACTTTTTAGAAAAACCAGCTCCTGGTCGTGCTGGCACTTTCAATTGTTTTTCTCTCTCACTTTTGTTCTTTTAATTCCCTTTGCTCTAGAGGCTGTGGGGTTTGATTGTGTTTCTTTTTCTATTTTATGAAGGTGTTGAGTTAGATCATTAATTTTGCTTCTTTCTTCCTTTTTTTTTTGTTTGCCTATTGCTATTAACTGCCCCCTGAGCAAAACACATTAGCTGTGCCCCAGAGGTTTTGGTATGCATATTTTCATTATCATTTGTTTCAATGAACACTTTTGCTTCATTCTTTATTTCTTCTATAACCCAATCATGTTCTAGCAGGGTGTTATTAGCTTCCACATTGGTGGTTTTATCAGATTTTATTCTCATGTGGTTAATTTCTAGTTTTATGGCTTTATGGTCTGAGAAGCTGCTTTCTATTATTTCAACTTTTTAAAATTTGTTGAGGCTTGCTTTGTGTCCTAATATATGACCAATTCTAGATAATGTACCATGTGCAGTTGAGAAGACAGTAAATAAACTTTTGGCTAGGTGCAGTATCCTGAATACATCCACAAGTTTAAGTTGGCTATTGTATAGTTTAGGTCCTTTCCATCTTTTTTAAGTTTCTTTTGAGTTAACCTATCTTTTGGTGAGTGTGGTGTGCTAATAGTCTCTACCACTACTGTGGTGCTGCCTATTTATTCTTCAATTCTGTTAAGCATTATTTTACGTATTTTTCAGATCTGTCATTTAGTGCATAGATGTTGACCAATGTTGTATCTTTTTGATCTGTTGTGCCTTTAATCGTTATATAGTGCCCTACCTTATCTTTTATGGTGGATTTCATCCTGAAGTCTATTTTATCAGAGATTAGTATTTCCACTACTGCTTTTTAAAAAACTTCTTTTTTTTTTTTATGTATACCATTGGATCTGAGTGGTACAGAAGAAAATTGTCCCTCCTTCTCCAGCAGAGCATCTGGTGGATTTGAACTGCTCACCTCTGGGATTGCAGTGCAGCTTCTTGCCACTAGGCCACAAGAGCTCACCTCCACTCCTGCTTTTTTGTGGATGCCAATTGCTTGGTATTTTTTTCCCTCCCAGTCTTTGAGTTTGAGTCTATCTTCCTCCTTTTTGATGACTTTTGTTATCATTCTGCTATTCTTTTTATCTTAATTGGTATATTTAGTCCATCCACATTAAGTGGGATAATTGACAGGCCAGGTTTTATCATAGTCATTTTGCTGTGTTTATTTCTCTGTTGTTTCTGGTTACATCCACTTTCCTTTGGTGTCTCTGTGAAGGGTTTTCCTTAAAATTTACTGTAGAGTTGGTCTTGTTTTCACAAATTCTTTAAGCTCCTTCTTTTCTGCAAATGATCTAATTTCTTCTTCATATTTTTTAAATTTTTTTTATTGCGAAAAACATATTTGGGGTACAAGGAGGTGAGGGTTGGGGGCAGAAGGGTGAGGATGGGCCAGGATGCAATTGCAGAGCTGCACAGTTTGGTCGGTGGGGGGAGCAGGTGAAGGAAATGATGAGGGTCCAGTGGGAACCAGATGCTACAGAGGAATGGCAAGCAATTTCCAATAGTAATTAAACCAACAGTCTTATTGATTTGAGAATTGGATGCC